AAAAAAAAAAAAGGAAAGAAAGAAAGTGCTCAATAAAATGCACTGTTCTTATGACTTATATTTACATGATGTGTATTTTCACCCCAGCAGAGCATGACTATGTATAGCATTCACTAAGGCCCAGTTTATACTTTGAAATTAAAAAATGCTCTGGTAGTTGAAAGACCCAAGGCCAGATTCATGCTTTACCACATTCCTGTAGGTTCACTTAACTACTCTGCACTTAGGTTTCTGTTTCTTTCTGGGGAGAGGTGATCACAGCTTCTCTGCTGGTGAGCATTAGTGGTGATGACCTCAAGGCCCTAGTTCCTAACTGATATCCTTATTTCTCAGTGAAGCCTCCTGCTTCTCCCCCCAAATGGCTTCTATGTCCTTGCTGTCTTTGCACTCCTTTATCCTTCTAATACCATGGGTGGGTTCCAGAAGTGGGGTGTTGATGACACAGGAACGTGTGTCCTCTTCCTGCCAGTCTGTGGGCTCCGTCTACAGCGGCCTGATGCAGGGAGTGGGGGCTGCTGAGAAGGTGTTCGAGTTCATTGATCGGAAGCCAACCATGGTACACGATGGCAACTTGGCCCCTGACCACCTGGAAGGCCGGGTGGACTTTGAGAACGTGACCTTCACCTACCGTACTCGGCCCCACACCCAAGTCCTGCAGGTGAGAGGCAGCCAAGGCCTGCCGAAGTCATCCTTTCCCTGACCCAGTTTCTTGCATGTGACAATGTAGCCAGGGATTCACAAGGCAAGTTCCCTGCCCTCGAGGAGTTCTGGCCTCCAACTGGGGAGGACAGACCCTTAACAGAATGAGTTCAGATAATAAGAGCTAGGAACAGAATAAATGAGGGTGCTGTGGTAGGAATAGTCCGCTGGGATGGTGAGAGCTGTCAAGGAAGGCTTCTTGGAGGAGGTGACATTTGAGCTGAGACCTAACCAGATGTCTTTCTTTGCCGAAAGAACATTAGAGGCAGAGAAAACAGCTAATATAAAGGTGCTGCCCAGTACTAGCGTCCTAAAAAGGAGAACATTCAGGGGCCGGCAGTGCCCAACCAAGGCAGAGGAGCACAGTGTGGGCTTAGCAGGACACCCACATGTGACTGAGGCCAGAGCATCCAGTCTCGGGACCTGAACCAGTGACCCCACACTGTGCCTCTGTGTTCCTTGCAGAACGTCTCCTTCAGCCTGACCCCAGGCAAGGTGACAGCACTTGTGGGGCCCTCAGGCAGCGGAAAGAGCTCCTGCGTGAACATCCTGGAGAACTTCTACCCCCTGCAGGAGGGCCGCGTACTGCTGGACAGCAAACCCATCAGCGCCTATGACCACAAGTACCTGCACCAAGTGGTACGTGGATGGGCCTCTGCCGTCCCCACCACCTGTCTTTACCTAAGCTTCCCTCTCATGAGTTGTGACACAGATGCAGAGAAGAGGACTAAAGACAAGTGTATAGTTCAAAGCCTTACCACTAATGTAACAACACCCTGGCTGAGACATGGAACACTCTGGCACCCCAGAAGCCCCCTGCCATTTTTCATTGGCTTTACCATCACTGTGCACGTCCCCAAACCGAGCTCTGTTTTGCCTGCTCTGAACTTCGTTTTGACAATCATAAAGTGTGTCTTGATTCCCCTACTCAGCATTGTCTGTGAGTCATCCAGGGTGTAGTTCATTCATTTCGCTGCTGGTTGATAATCCACTGCATAGAGAAATCACAACTATTCACACATTCTGCTCTGGATGCACATTTGGGTTGTTTCCCATTCTTTTTTATCATTACCAACAATATTGATGCGAGGTGTGGACAATTTTGTCCATGTTTCCTGGTATACATGGATGTGTTCTCTAAAAGTATCATCCTTAGAGTTGGAAAGCTTGGTGATAGGGAGGGAGTCCCCGACTTCAGTAGCTTCTGACACAACTGTTCTCCAAGTGGTTGTACCCATTTACATTTCACAGTTTACATTCCACCAGCAGTGAAGGAGAATTCCAGTTGTCCTACAAATGGGACATCCCCAGTGCTATAGGAAAAGGCTTTTCATGACCCTGCAGTTTTTGGTCATCTTTCAGGAAAGGAGCCTCAATGCCTGTACTGGTGCTGGCCCTGTCTCGTGGTTCAGGTTGTACATGATACAAGAAATACTTTTAAGGGGGGTATCACATCATCAGTGTAAATTATGTGAGAGCCTGAGGGTTGGCACAGAGATTCTAGAATTCTCAGCCAAGTTCTTGATGGTGGCAGAGGCCCTGCGTTGTGAGATCTGCCCATGTTCTGGGCATATAACAAGAGGAAGATGGCTGACAGGTAGTCCCGAGTACGGCCACCAGATTTCTGGAAGGGGTCCTGGGGCAGAGCTGTTTACACTTTGCAGTATGATCCCCAAACTTAATATTGTCCATCATGAATTTTTTCCTAATTGGCAAGTGTGTAGTGGTAGCTTATTATGGTCTTTTGTGTTTTCCTGATGACTACAGATATTAAGCATCTTTTCTTATATTTATTAGCCATTTTTTGGTGGGAGGGGTTTAAGAGATGGGGTCTCACTCTTGCTCAGGCTGGTCTTGAACTCCTGAGCTCAAGCAGCTCTCCCAGAGTGCTAGGATTATAGGTGTAAGCTACCACATCCAGCCTAGTTTTCCTCTTTTGTGTATATAACCTCTCTTTAAATTTAAAAGTTTAATTTTCATAAACACAAAGCAATTAAATGCTATAATAACACTACAGTTTTATTGAATTTTAAAACTAAGACATGGAGTGTTCCCCTCTACCTTAGCTTTTGAATTCTACCCCAAGGAGGTACCTGTATTAACTAATAGTTTAGTAAGTATCTTTTCTATCCTGTTTCTCATCTCTGTATAAACATTTCAGTATATGTATGGTATGAACATATGAAGGCACATGTGTATGATTTTTTTTAAACAAAGATAGAATCATGCTAGGTGTATGTATCCACTGTAGTTAGATCTTATGGATACACTGTAATTATGTAACCAATCCCCAACTTATGGACAGCTGGATTCCATTTTAACCTGATTCATTAATTTATCTTTGCTATTTACAGTGTTGAGGTGGTATCTTCCATATGATAATGGAAGGATAATGTAGGCCAAATTCCTGGAATCATGGGAAGACAGCTTCTTTAAAATTTTCTTAGAAAGGAGGGGTCAGCTAGGAGCAATGGCTCATGCTTGTAGTCCTAACACACTGGGAGGCCAAGGAGGGAAGATCCCTGAGCTGTGGAGTTTGAGACCACCTTGAGCAAAAGTGAGACCCCATCTCTACTAAAAAAAAAAAAAAAAAATGAACTGAGTGTTGTGGTGGGTATCTGTATTACCAGCTAGTTGGGAGGCTGAGGCAGAAGGATCGCTTGAGCCCAGGATTTGAGGCTGCAGTAAACTATGATGATGCCACTGCACGCTAACATAGGTGACAGAGACCCTGTCTCAGAAAAAAAAAAGGAGGTGGCGATGGCCAGGGAGGTGTGTGGTCCCCTGCTTCCTGACACAGGTAGACCCCCACAGAGCTGGAGTCTATATTCTCTCATTCACTTTTTTTTCCCCAAGAGAGGGACAGGCTACTAGCTTTCTCTGGGAGGTCAGGGAACTTGGCTTAGCCCAGAGCAGCAAGCTTAGAGGGCCCCAGTTTGTTAGTCAGGGGAAGCGAAAGGCTTGTGGGTATTGGCTGGACTCCACTATGGAGAAAGAAGGGCAGCAGCTGGTGCAGCAGCCAGGGGCCCTGATTAGGTTACTGACCTGCGACTGCTGGCGGCAGCGTGGCCAGGCTGGGGCTGATGAGGCTGCTGGTGACAGCTGGAGAGACACCCTCCTGGCCTCTCATACCCCATCTGTCCTTCCCCACAGATCTCATTGGTCAGCCAGGAGCCTGTGCTGTTTGCCCGCTCCATCTCGGACAACATCTCCTACGGTCTGCCAGCCGTGCCCTTCGAGAGAGTGGTGGAAGCGGCGCAGAAGGCCAATGCACACGGCTTCATCATGGAGCTGCAGGATGGCTACAGCACAGGTATGGGGCCCCTCCCAGGCCCCCCATGTCATATGTCATCTGCTCTTCAGTATTTCATTTTTCTTTCATTGATATGAAATTCACATAACAGAAACATAACCCTCCCCTTTTTTTTTTTTAGAGACAGAGTTTCACTCTGTCGCCCTTGGTAGAGTACTGTAGCATCACAGCTCACGGCAACCTCCAGCTCTTGGGCTTAGGTGATTCTCTTGCCTCAGCCTCCCAAGTAGCTGGGACTACAGGCATCCGTCACAACACCCGGCTATTTTTTGTTGCAATTAGGCTGGAGCCAGGTTTGAACCCTCCACCCTCAATATATGGGGCCGGTGCCCTACTCACTGAGCCACAGGTGCCACCCAGAAACACAACCCTTTTTTTTTTTGAGACAGAGCCTTAAGCTGTCACCCTGGGTAGAGTGCTGTGGCGTCACAGCTCACAGCAACCTCCAACTCCTGGGCCCAAGCCATTCTCCTGCCTCAGCCTTCCAAGTAGCTGGAACTATAGGTCCCTGCCACAACACCCAGCTATTTTTTGATTGTAGCTGTCATTGTTGTTTGGTGGGCCCGGGCTGGATTTGAACCTGCCAGCTCAGGTGTATGTGTCTGGCACCTTAGCCACTTGAGCCACAGGCACCAAGCCACTTAGCCCTTTTAACTGAACAATTCAGTGGCCTTTTGTACATTCCCAAAGCTATATGGCCACCACCTCTATCTAGTTCCACATTATTATTTTAAAATTATATATATTTATATTAATTATTAAAGCCATTTAAGCTCATATTAATAAATAACACTCTTCCCTTAAGTGGCCTGAAGTGATCTGTGAAAGTGGTTCGCTATTCACTTGACCCAGAAAACCTACAAAGTCATGCAAGTCAAGAGGTTCAAATTTTCGTGTTCACCTCAAGAACCATATGAAACAGCCCAGCCCATCAAGGGTATGCATATACAAAAAGCTATCAAGAATCTGAAAGATGGGACTTTTTTTTTGAGACAGAGTCTCACTTTGTCACCCTCAATAGAGTTTGTGGTGTCATAGCTCACAGCAACTTCAAACTCTTGGGCTCAAGCAGTTCTCTTGCCTCAGCTTCCTAAGTAGCTGGGAGGGACCACAGGTGCCCACCACATTGGCCCAGCTATTTTTTTAGAGACAAGGTCTCACTCTTGCTCAGGCTGGTATTGAACTTGTGAGCTCAGGCTATCCGCCTGGCTTTGCCTCCCAGAGTGCTAGGATTACAGGCGTGAGTCACCTCACTCAGCCTGAAAGATGTCACTTTAAAAAAACAGTATGTAGGCTTGGAACCTGTGGCTCAAGTGGCTAAGGTGCCAGCCACATACACCTAAGATGGCGGGTTCGAATCTAGCCCAGGCCCGCCAAAACAACAATGACTGCTGCAACCAAAAACTAGCTGAGTATTGTAGCGGGCACCTATGGTTCCAGCTACTTGGGAGGCTGAGGCAGGAGACTCACTTGAGGAGTTAGAGGTTGCTGTGAGCTGTGATGCCCTGGCACTCTACCCAGGGGGACAGCTTGAGGCTCTGTCTCAAAAAAAAAAAAAAAACAGTGTGTACCCAACGTTACAATGGTGGAGTTGGTAGGTGTGCCCAGGTCAAACAGTAGGGCTGAAAACAGGATTGGTGGTCAGCACCCAAAAAGAGTGCTGAATTTTTGCCACACCTGCTTAAAAATGCAGAGAGGAATGGTGGACTTAAGGGTTTAGATGTAGATTCTCTGATCATTGAGCACATCCAGATGAACAAAGCACCCAAGATTTGTACTGAACTTATAGAGCTCATGGTCACATTAACCCACCCATGAGCTCCCCCTGCCACATTGAGATGACCCTTACTGACAAGGAACAAATTGTTCCAAAACCAGAAGAGGAGATAGCACAGAAGATCCCAGAAGAAACTGAAGGAACGAAAACTTATGTGGATGGGAATAGATGCAACATAAAATAAATGCAAATAACAAACAGCAAAAGAAAAAAAGAAATAACCATTTTAATTTGTTAAATAATATATTTATATTTTATGCATATTTAGCATTTTTATTTAATATGACAAGTAAAAATTGTTCATATTTAACAATGTACAGCATGTTTTAAAATATGTATACAGAAGGTGCCAAGAAAAGGTATACATTTTTTTTTTTGAGATGGAGTCTCACTTTGTTGCCCTTGGTAGAGTGCTGTGGCATCACAGCTCACAGCAACCTCAAACCCTTGGACTTTAGTGATTCTCTTCTCTCAGCCTCCCAAGGAGCTGGGACTACAGGTGCCCAGCACAACACCTGGTTATTTTTTGGTTGTAGTTGTCATTGTTATTTGGCAGGCCCAGTCAGGATTTGAACTCTCCAGCTCTGGTGTAGGTGGCTGGTACCCTAGCCACTGAGCTACAGATGCTGAGCCAAAACATCTTTTTTTTTTTTTTTTTGAGACAGAGCGTCAAGCTGTCCCCCTGGGTAGAATGCCGTGGCATAGCTCCTAGCAACCTCCAACTCCTGGACTCAAGCAAGTCTCCTGCCTCCGCCTCCCAAGTTGCTGGGACCACAGGCACCCGCCACAATGCCTGGCCATTTCTTGGTTGCTGCTGTCTTTTTTGCCTAGGGGGCCTGGGCTGGATCTGAACCCGCCACCCTAGGTGCATGTGGCTGGCGCCCCAGCCACTTGAGCCACAGGCGCCGAGCCAACATGTACACATTTTAAGAAATATTATCTATGTATTACTTTTTGAAATTCAATTAAGGTACTATTACTGGTTAAGTGCACCTAGACATGTTATGCAATTCCATTTTACCTGTAATGATCAATTTCATTTCCAACAAGATTGCTTAAAATGTACATATATATTTTTGGCATCTCTGGTACATTGTAGAATAGCTAAATTGAGCCAATTAATGTATGCATAACCTCAGATACTTATCTTTTTTTGTAGAGAGAACACTTAAAATCTCTCAGCAATTTTCCAGGATACAGGGCTGGGTGTGGTGGCTCATGCCTGTAATCCTAGCACTCTGAGAGGCTGAGGCAAGTGGATCACTTGAGCTCAGAAGTTCAAGACCAGCCTGAGCAAGAGCAAGACCCTGTCTCTACTAAAAACAGAAAAATTAGCCAGGCATTGTGGCAGGTGCCTATAGTCCCAGCTACTTGGGAGGCTGAGCAAGAGGATCACTGAGCCCGAGAGTTTGAGGTTGCTGTGAGTTGTGATGCCACGGCACTCACTCAGGGTGACAGAGTGAGATCTGTCTCCAAAAAAAAAAAATTCCAACATACAGCACATTGTTATAAACTATAGTCACTGTATTATGTTAACAGATCCCTTGAACTCCTTGTTTAACTGAAACTTTGTGTCCATAGATCTACATCTCTGCAATCTCCCCCAATATATTTTATTAATTTAGTTCTTGAAAAGAGGATATTCGCATGGTTCAAAATTTTTCAAATATATTTTTAAAAATACAATGAAGGGGTTTGGCGCCTGTGGCTCAAGTGGCTACGGCGCCAGCCACATACACCTGAGGTGGCGGGTTCAAATCCAGCCTGGGCCCACCAAACAACAATGACGGCTGCAGCCAAAAAATAGCCGGGCATTGTGGCAGGCACCTGTGGTCCCAGCTACTTGGGAGGCAGAGGCAGGAGACTTGCTTGAGCCCGGGAGTTGGAGGTTGCTCTGAGCTGTGATGCCACGGCACTCTACCCAGGGGGACAGCTTGAGTCTCTGTCTCAAAAAAAAAAAAAAATATATATATATATATACACAATTAAGGGTGGTGCCTGTGGCTCAGTGAGTAGGGCACCAGCCCCATATACCGAGGGTGGCCAGTTTGAACCTGGCCCTGGCCAAAGTGCAACAAAAAATAGCTGGGAGTTGTGGCAGTGCCTGTAGTCCCAGCTACTCAGGAGGCTAAGGCAAGAGAATCACCTAAGCCCAAGAGCTGGAGGTTGCTGTGAGCTGTGACGCCACGACACTCTACCAAGGGCAACAAAGTGAGACTCTGTCTCAAATAAATAAATAAAAATAATTGAAAAATAAAAATATAGTGAAAAGTTTCATCCTTCTCCCCATGCCCAGAGTTTCATAATGCAAATAGAATATTTATTTTTATATGCCCCGACTCCACCCTTTTATAGGGAAAACAAAATCAACTTACACTCTGTACCTGGCCTTTGTTACTGAGCACTGTATTCTAGTGATCTTTGAGTAGTTCTCAACCTTCCTAATGTCACGCCCCTTTAATACAGTTCCTCATGTTGTGGTGACCCCAAATCATAAAATGATTTCATTATGAAATTAATTTCAGCTCAGCGCCTGTGGCTCAAGCAGCTAAGGCGCCAGCCACATACACCTGAGCTGGCAGCTTCAAATCCAGCTCTGGCCCACCAAACAACAATGATGGCTGCAACCAAAAAACAGCCGGGCATTGTGGCAGGCACCTATAGTCCCAATTACTTGGGAGGCGGAGGCAGGAGATTCGCTTGAGCCCAGGAGCTGGAGGTTGTTGTAAGCTGTGACGCCGTGGCACTCTACCCAGGGTGATAAAGTGAGAGTCTTTCTCTTAAAAAAAAAAAAAAAGAAATTAATTAATTTCATGAGCTTGATTGAGAACCACTGTTCTAGGTTGATATGTGGGAAGCTGCCTCCTTCTCCCCACTCCCTCTTTCCCCTCCTGCACCTCCTCCCTCGTATTTTCAGTTGGATAGACTTCTGGAGTATGTGTTCTTATGAGAATTTACTTAATAAACAATTTATTGACTCGGTTTCCTATCAATGGGTATTTGAGTTAATTTGTGCTTTTTTCTTTTTCTTTCTTTTTTTTTTTTTTTTGCAAGAATAATGCTATGAGTCACCTATGCCCATGTCATTGTGCATGGGAGAAAGTCGATCTGTAGGGAAGATCCCCTGGGGTGGTCTTGCTGGCCCGAGGGTTGCGAGTTTGTGGCTGTGATACATGACCTGTGCACAGCACAGGGTGACAGAGCCAGGGCATAGGCAAACCCTCAAAGTTGGGGTAGAACCAACTTTGCTTCTTCCTGTGGCCTCTCTGCACAGTGTATTAACAAATGTTTGGCTTTCTGTTCAGTAAAAGGGTTAAAATGGGTAATGCTTAATTTGCGTGCCCCTTATAAACAGGGCGGGAAGCAGCATTTCATGAACTTCAGCTGTTGGTATCTCCAGCTGGTGGCCCTTTGAAACCTCCTGGAAAGCACAGCTCCCAGGCAGCCCGAAAAGGCTTCTGACTCTCCTCTGGGACCTCCCGGGCTCACCCCTGCTAACGTGACCCTGTGCCTTCCCACCTTGCAGAGACAGGGGAGAAGGGTGCCCAGCTGTCAGGTGGCCAGAAGCAGCGGGTGGCCATGGCCAGGGCTTTGGTGCGGAACCCACAAGTCCTCATCTTGGACGAAGCTACCAGCGCCCTGGATGCAGAGAGCGAGTACCTGGTAAGTGACAGGAGGGTGGTGGGTGATGCTGGAGCAGCCAACAGCTCCAGGGGGCCAGGGCTCCCAGCAGAGGGGTGCTGAGAGGGGCTCAGAGGTGGCCCCGGGGCCTGTCCCAGGCCATCAGCTTCCTGGTGAATTCCTAGTGTGGAGGGTGGGAACTAGGGAGGAAGCAGCCCAGGCCCAGTCACTCTGGGCCCCACCCCTGGACTCTAGAAGGAACTAAAGCTTTGTGAGACAGGGCAGGAGGAGACTGGACTGGACGGGAAGCTCTACCTTGTGGTTTATAAGCATGTGACCTTGGGCGCTTACCTCTTCCTCTCTCTGAGTCTCATTTTTGTTGGTAAAGAGGGCCTAGGAGTGTGCTGGTGGATGGCAGCTACCCCAGCCCGTGCGTGGATTCATTCATCCATCCATCCCGCAGGTGGTTACTGACCTCCTCCCAGACACAGGTCACAGAGGCAGGCTGACCAGACAAAGACCCACATCCCTGAGACGTTTTGTCCCAGTGGAGAGGATAATAAACAAGGAAACTAGCATGAGTTCAACCACAGTGGCTGTGCTACAAAGAAATTGAAGCATCACATGATACAGAGAGACTGGGCGGGGTCCCCACTATTAAAGACAAACACAGCTGGACATCAGCGAAAGCCAGGAAAACAGATTTTAGTGACTACTGATGGGTGTGGGGGGCACGCTGTGCTCTGTTCAGATTTGTGGATGCTCAGTGTGCAGGCCAGGAGGTACCTGTGTCTAGCTGGTGCTTTTGAAAGTTAGGAGTCTGTCCTGCAGAGACAGGGAGACAGGGCCCTCTCCTTCCTGAGGACTCCATTTCAAGGGTATGGATTTCAGGTCTTTAAGAGAGACACTCTTAGCTGCAGGGAACATGTAAACATCTCACAAGGACTCCTAGTTGTAAACTCTCTTTTTCCAGAAATGCTCCTAGTGGGCAGCGCCTATGGCTCAAAGGAGTAGGGTGCCGGCCCAGCCAAAAACTGCAAAATAAAAAAGAAGTGCTCTAAGAAAGGGAGCTCATGCCTATCAGAAGGTGGGACAAATAGCCAGTCCTTGTGGCCACAATGCCCTTTCTCTTTAGTGGAAGCTGGGGCCTTCCTAGAGATACAGCTGTGCACTGATAGGAGCCTTGCTAGGTTTAAATGAAGTTTTGTGCTAAGAGTTCTATTGTGCTCACTGTTAGAATGATCTGATCATCCAGGGTCACCCAGGTTAACCAAAGTCATCAGGTGACCTTTTGGGCTGAGACAAAAGGAACCAGGCCGGGCACAGTGGCTCAGGCCTATGATCCCAGCACTCTGAGAGGCCAAGGCAGGTAGATAACTTGAGCTCAAGAGTTCAAGATCGGCTCGGCGCCTAT